TTGAGGTAATCTTGAGCCCGATGGAGCAGCAGGTTCCAAATGGTACGACAAGGTGTGCTTCGGATCCGGATCCGCCGTCGGTCGCGATTCAGCGAAGCGCTGCTCTTGTGAGGGCTAGTGTTAGCAATTCTCTCATGTGGAGCCCGTGAGCTCACCTACCGGCCCACGTGAAGTTGGAGTAGCCCCTTGGGTAGCCAATTGGGTAGGGAAAAAAGATATAAAAATTATAGAACTCGTAATGTCGTTAGAAAAACCTTTCTAAACAGGAACTCATTCAGTGCGCCTTTAGGCTACCTACTTACCTTCTTCTGTGGCTGTCAGCTCTTGATTTATAGATATAAGTAGCGTCTGCTACGAACAAGGTTTTCGGAGAGTAATCAGCAGAGGGCAGCGGTTTAGCGTGCACGTGGCGTTGCCGGCGTCCATGAGTGACGATATGCGATGAAGTAGAAACATCCTTCATACAATTACCTATAATTCATATTAATTTTTTCGTGTTAATATAATTAATAATTTATCAATCTAAGTGTACTGTTTTTTTTGTGAAGTATAATTATTATACGTATTTAACATATACATAGTGTGAATTGTCAGTTCACGTGTAAGCTTGTGTAAACCGTACCCAAAACGGTAATATGAGCAATTAACGAACTGCCTCTAGTATTTTTCCTTTAATCGTATTGTGATTGCAGCCTTATGCATAGTCTTCATAATTACAAATCACGTAACCTATATCAGTTTGGGCTCGACATCCGTGGGAGGTGAAGATAAAAAAATCGGATTAGTGTAAGCACATACGTAGGTATATGGTGACCGAGCCCACGTATAGCTATTTATTCGTTGATCGTGGAACTGGTTTGCATAAGTACGCATTTCCTTACGAAATTGATACCTGTCGCCTGCGTGCTTGGGAGGCTAGCGCAGTAGCACCACGCGTATCTCGGGCGCGACTTATTCTTTAAGCCAGGACGACTTCTGTCTTATATTATGAAGTCTTCAATAGAATATTTGTTTATTAAAAAGATACTCTAAACTCAATGTGTTAGTGATTTGAGAGTGCCAAATGCCACTGATAACACACACTGGTTTATGTGTATTTATTTTCTTGCTGTACGTCAACGTCGTCACAATGACGTCATTTGAGATACGAATATTTAGGAGACCACGCTGTTGTACCGGTGAAATTTTTTAAGCCGCGTTGTAATGTAACTAACTGTATATAACAAAACGATGATTTCAGCTTTAAAACCGTCGGACACAATATTTGATTGAACTCTAAAAGCGAAAAGAAAAATAGATGAGCGTTAACCTGATTAAAGAAATAGGCTTCCGAAACTCGATTCGGATGACGATAAAAGCCGTTGGAAATTTGACAAGCGTACTTCAGCAGTCAGTCACGCAATGTTGAGCTCAATGGCGTTAGTATTAAAAGCTAGCTTAGTGGCAAGGGTAGTCAGGCGCGGAAACAAGGTCGGAATATCGCGTTTGTCTGGTCTAGACTTCGAACATAGTGTAGCCAGATTGTAAACACTCAATTAATAGGAAACGAATTTTTTTTTTGGAATGCTGATATTACATGAAAGATTTTCTTCAAATTGTCGTTAGCGATATTCCGGTGTTTTAGCAGCTGGGTTCTGTTAGCAAATTGTTAATGATGATGATAATTGAAACTTCAAGCTGTTTGTCGGTTGCACTTTAGAAATTTTCGGCTCTGTTCCACTAATCAGCACTATTTCTATTAATTTATTTATAATTCTGATGGCATTCATTTATTACGAAAACCAATAGCAAACACCACGTGTACAGATTAATGCAAATATTATAAGTAAGAATAAGAGTGAGTGTTACGGTTTCACGGCTCAACTATTCAACCGATAATCGTGAAAAGTCACGTTGTCAGAGCCGAGGACATCGAATACTCATCATCCAGCAGAAACTACTCCACAGAGACTTTTTTCCTATTGTATATTAAAGCGAATGAAGCCGCGGGCACACAATTAACACCTCAACTTATATTTTTGTGGCCTGCACCGTGTAACATCTATCATAACTAGAGGTGCCCTGCGGATTCACCCGCGCCAAGTTCCTTGAAGGCTATTCAAAAATAATGAAACATTTCGGATCTTACCACAATACAGAGATACTTGTATCATTATCAATAGAGTAGCAGTCCAACTGTAGATCGGCCGTCGCTTGCAACGAAGGGCTCGGCGAGTAAATTAACCCACAGACACAGCCCACTGAGTTTCTCGCCGGATCTTCTCAGTGAGTCGCGTTTCCGAACCGGCGGTAGATTCTGCGAAGCACTGCTCTTGCCAGGGTTCGTGTTAGCAACAGCGTCAAGTTTGAGCCCCGTGAACCCCGCTAACCTCTGAAAGAGCTGAAATAGCTCTTAAGGCTATCAGCTTAGGTAGGAAAAAAAAGTAGATTGGTTGATTTGATACGTTGTGGCGGGTAGCCATCATAGAAATTTTATCTGTTTTTACTGAACGTTTTTTTCGGGCTACGATTTTCGGTTACGGCTCTATGGTTCTGTATCATTCATTTACGTCGTACCAAGGAGCGTTGTTTGCTAAGAGATGTCTCGCACTCCCACTAGATGCGTTTGTGTCAATATTACGATTTATGATGTCGCTGTTAGGTTATACGCTGTCTAGTCATTTGAATACGCATTACAGCGTGAGGTCAGGCCCCTTCGATCGTATTTCATCCTTTGATTCGAAGATTCGTACGATATTATAAATAATAATAAGCCCATTTTATTTCTAAAAACAAACAAAGAAAGAAAAAAAACACCGTGTCAAATAAAAAATTACAAAATTACATATCATAAACTTGTGGTATTGGAACCCCATTCGGGTATAGGCCTCCTCCAGCTTACTCCACTCTTCCCCTTGGCTTTGTTTCTCCATTATTTTTCAGTTGCTGCTATTATTTCGTCGATCCATCTGCTCCTTGGTCGTCCTCTTCTTCTTTTGCCCACTGTTCCTTCCCAGTACGATATAAAGTATCAGTTATTTGACCACATAGTTTGTTGTAATCAAAGAAATATAATCAGTCATATAAAAGAGTCATCATGATTAGACATCGACTGCTAACATTTTCTCTTAGACTTCTAGGAAGACTGGCAAGAATTACTGGTGGTAGGACCGCTTGTGAGTTCGCGCGGGTAGGTACCGCCACCCTGCCTAGTTCTACCAATTTTTCTAACGAACAACGTACTTTTTAAGTGTTCACGATTGACTTCCACGTTAAAGGAATAACATCGTCTAATAAAAATCAAACCCATAAAATTATAATTTGCGTAATTACTATTGGTAGGACATGTTGTGAAACACATATTTGGACATAAATAGGACATGAGACGTGGCACGGGTTCAAGAGCGTTTGCGGCTCAACAGCATCAAATGCGTTTCTCCGTCGGTACTCTTAAAGTTCTCGGCAAAAGAGCTCTAGTGTTTTTGTGGCATTGCTGACGTTTTTATGCTCATTAATTCCCACTTACCACTAGGGCTCCGCTGTGTGTCATAACATTACAAAGGATATGAACCAGACAAACGTTTGAGAACAAACTCTTTCCAATTGTTCCTGTTGTTTATTCGCTAATGACCCGACGTGTCGCCTCACCTTCACATTCACGTGCAGCCAGTTGACCGACAGTGTTTAGTGTGACCTTAACACGGAGACCTTTCACGTGAACTGTACGGACAGACGTTATTCATTGATGTAAAACCGACATGAGAGAGATATCATTCACATACGCGTTGTTAATTGATTTGATGGAAAAGATCAGGAAAAGCTGTTTTTTTTATTACTTAGGTGGTTGGACAAGTTCACGGCCTATCTGATGTTTAGTTGTTTAACGGAGCCCATAGACATCTACAACATACCTACCTACTTACCTTGAGATGTGAGTTCTAAGGTCTCAGTATAGTTACAACGTCTGCCCCACTCTTCAGACCGAAACGCATTACTGCTTCACGGCAGAAACAGGCGGGGTGGTGGTACCTACCCGTGCGGACTCACAAGACGTTTTACCACCAGTGCAAATAACTTTAATAGAAGTACTAATACGCAGCCGAACCTCCGCCCCCAGTAGACATCACTTTGAAATAAGCTAGCGCTGTCCAATCTAGGAATTTCGTTTGGCCATCCCGCCGCACGAGAGGTCGCTTGTCGGCCATAGGATCGCCGGGCCTATCAGTCGGCGGATGGCCAAATTAAATCACCTTTCAGCCAGCGTTCTAGATTATTCTAATGCTATTACTGTGACCAGAACAAAAGCCCTAAGTTGTGCTGTAAATAAAATCCGAAAACGATTTTGGTCACGCAAGCACGTCAATATACGTTACGTAAACATTGGTAAGATCACATCTCGCGATAACCGGTCTTGTGACTGGAATGCGGCTGCTTATACACCACATGGGGTCAGCTGTTGCACCGTTCGGATTAGCGTCTGGTCTTGCAGATCAAACCTGATGTTGACAGTGTTCATCCCACCACCAGTAATTACGCTAATTATATATAGCTCCAGACTCCGCCCAAATGTGGGCTTGTTAAAACTGATGTCTATGGGCTCCGGTAACTACTTAACACCAGGTGGGCTGTGAGCTCGTTCACCCATCTAGGCAATAAAAAAAGTACGTTATTAATTATAAAACGTGTGTCTGCCGCATTTGAAGACGCTGAGTGTACTGAGCGTCTTATCCATTCGTATGATTTCAAGATCAAAAGCTGTCACATAGCTTGAATGGCTATAACACTCCAGATCAGTCCGAGTTGGAAGTGTCCAATTTGTAAAGTTAACGACTTGCGACTAATAATAAGTCGAGTGTTGGATGGTCTCCCGTACGACACGAGCTGTGCTCATAAGTACTCACGGTTGACAGTCTGCGCTGTTCTCTTTAAACCATTTGCTCGTTTACAAAGCTTAACTTATAGAAAAATAGATTGTTAGTTCTCAGGTCCACCACAATTTCAATGTCCCTTTCTGATTGCAGGCTCCACGAAGAGATCGATCACTTCTACATGTACATGTCGCCGACGGAGACGGAGCACCTGGTCCGCTCGACCGTGGTGAACAGGATCCGCGCCGCCATCCTGTCGCTCTGGCCCCAGGCCCGGGTCGAGGTGTTCGGTTCATTCCGTACTGGACTGTACCTGCCGACCAGCGATATAGACCTAGTCGTTATTGGTGAGTGTCACGGAACGTAGCTTTTGAGATTTTAGTCTGGCAACACGGTCTTAAGAAAAAGGAGACTTGTCAAAAATGTGTGAAACGAGCCGGTTGTAGCTTTTTAGTTTTACTTAAGTTAATAAGTACTATTGTAATATTGTAAGTGTGCCAAATGCACGGTCATACGGAAGAAAATGTCGTATTAATCGATAACAAGTATTTTCCCTCAAGATCCGTCACAGTGAGTTTATAAATTTTATGAACTTCTTAGATTCTGAATTCAAGAAACCTTATTCTTTGCACTAAAGCTGACCGTTGCGCGTTCAAGTGAAGGGTTGCGCGAATGCTGTTGGTAAAGTTAGCGGAATCGTCATGAACTTATTAAGATGAAGTTATTTTTTAAGGAAATTTATGAATATATTCCTTTTAATACTGTATAAACTATTCTATGTGTGTATGTATATACTTTTTTATGTATGTATTTGTAACTTAATATAAATTTTATTGCACCTACCACTATTTACTCTGTACTACCTTTGGTTGACTGGTAGAGAATGCCTTAGGCATTAAGTCCGCCAATGTAAATTTTACATGAAGTGTAATAAATAAATAAAGCATACCCGCTCCTGCTCGCAGGCTATCAACGTTTTTATCAATATACTTTAGAGTTTCGTGTCCACAGTGTTCGTAATTCAATAGTGTTTAGAAAGCTGTCAAGTCTTAAATCAAGTTTTTCTATTTCATTTCCATGGAATAGTGCTTAAGTTTATAGAGAGACTCAGTGAGAAATAAAAGTATGGCGATTAATTATTAAAATACGTCCATAGTCACTGAACTCTTTAAGATATCGGATTCATTGATTATATAGGTATCTTCATTACATTTTATCTCTTGTTTTGTAAGTGACATTAAAAAATATCCACATTTTATTGATAATATTAATTAATGATTGCCTATACGTTTAATGAGGTTAACAAATAATGACTTACGATAAATTAGTCTTAAAACTACAAGTGTTTTTTTTATTGTTTAGATGGGTGGACGAGCTCACAGCCCACCTGATGCTAAGTGGTTACTGGAGCCCATAGACATCCACAACGTAAATGCGCCACCCACCTTGAGATATAAGTTCTAAGGTCTCACGTATAGTTACAACGGCTGCCCCACCCTTCAAACCGAAACGCATTACTGCTTCACAGTAGAAATAGGCGGGGCGGTGGTACCTACACGCGCGGACTCAGTTAGGCAGCGGCTTGGCTCTGCCCTTGGCATTGCTGAAGTTCATGGGCGACGGTAACCACTCACCATCAAGTGGGCCGTATGCTCGCCTGCCTACAAAGGCAATAAAAAAAAAACTCACAAGAGGTCCTATCACCAGTAAAAAATTACCTTGTATGTATGTATGAAAGTGATACAATCGTCTGAAAATAAAGGATTGAATCCTCAACTCACTTCTAAGTAAGTCACAGACACCAATGTGGCCGTGACCGAACTGCTCGTGCATATTTATAATTCTTTATGATAATATTATCAGTTGTTATCAAGTTACACCATAGATAAGACTGTTTATACATCTGAAATAATAAGGCGAGGAGGCCAGTTGCGCACGTTGTGTAATCAGAACTGAAATACTAATAACTTGTAATCCAGTGACGCCTGCTTCAAGAGCAGTCCCACTGTCCAATCCCGTCCCTATTTTATTCACTACCCAGCCGCCGTTGACAACGTAAGAGAATCCTACTGGTGGTAGGACCTCTTGTGAGTCCGCACGGGTGGGTACCACCACCCTGCCTATTTCTGTCGTGAAGCAGTAATGCGTTTCGGTTCGAAGGGCGGGGCAGCCGTTGTAACTATACTGAGACCTTAGAACTTATATCTCAAGGTGGGTGGCGCATTTACGTTGTAGTTGTCTATGGGCTCCAGTAACCACTTAACACCAGGTGGGCTGTGAGCTCGTCCATCCATCTAAGCAATAAAAAAAAAAAAAAAACGTGGGAGTGGAATAAAGTCGCTTCCTCTTGATCCTGATTCGGCGTTACAACGCAGCTGACTTCAGAACGAATATAGTAAAGGATTTGCACCCGAACTCTCACTCGTTGATTCACCAACATCTTACTCGTACACTCCAATTGGATAGATAGGATCGTGGTGAGTGATCACCGCTGCTCATGGACAACAGCAATACCAGAAGCACAGGCATGATGCTGCCTAATGACTTATATAAATGAGTTCAAATTAATGGTAATTATGCAGAGATTTGTTTAATCTTTTTATTTTTTTATAGCGTAAGGGTCTGGACGAGTTCACAGTCCACCCGATGTTAAGTGGTTACCGGAGCCCATAGACATCTACAGCGTAAATGCCGCCACGCACCTTGAGATATGACTTTTAAGGTTTCTGTTCAATTTGACTACTCCACCCTTCAAACCGAAACGCATTACTGCTTCACGGCAGAAATAGGCAGGGCGGTGGTACCTACCCGTGCGGACTCACAAGAGGTCCTACCAGCAGTAAGAAACGAACGAATATAACTGTGTACACAAACTTTCGTCGTCCGCAATCCATTCTTTAAGTTGAATTAACAGTCTTATCATTAGATTCGGTTTTTCACCCATTTGCCTCAATGAATAAAACCTTATTCAACCTGCGTCAACTCGCTAAAGACATATTTGCAAACCACAACGCGGTCGAGTTGATTAAAAAGGCTATTTAATTTGATTGAAAACATATCGTGTCAAGTCTGCTTTGTTAATTAAATACAAAATTCTAGTTCCTTTTCAATATCACAGTTCGATGTTGTTCATTACTATTTTTTCAAGGTCTCCCAGATCAACGTGGCAGCAGGGTTGGCTAGATCAATTAATAATGGAATTCTTACTGAACGTGTTGGGTTGGATGATTATGTAAAGATCTTTAAACCCATCACGCCGTCATCGAAATATTTGACCGTATGGTGTGATAATGCCTTTTTTGCCCTTGGAGGCATACGAGCATAGGGCCCGCCTGATGGTGAGTGGTTACCGTCGCCCGTGGACCTCAGCAATGCCAGTGGCAGAGCCAACCCGCTGCCGCCCCGCGATGCGTAGGACGCTCATGCTCAATTGTCCTCTTAAAACCGCGTGTAATCTGTACCGGGGTACAAAAATTTTTATTTGTATAGACGAGTGAACTGGTGTTTAGTTACCAGAACCTATGGGCATCACGGTAAACCAACTACCGTCTACCTTAGACATGAGGTCTAAGCCTCAATTGTATAATATGATTGCACCAAATTATAATTTTGATGTTAATTACACGTTGTTATTACTTCATTGTGGAAGTCAATCGTGAACATGTGTTAGCACTTATTGCAATAGGATAATAAGTATCTTAATAGAATACAACGAGTGTCGGATACAGATGAGTGGTAGCCCTACCGGCGTGCGCGGCAGCTCAGAGTAGTAAGTCGACCTCGAACTCGGGCCGTTATCTCGCCCACAATGTTACACGATGACAAATATCTATCGCATTATCACTTGGAAACAAGAGTCCTGAACGATATTAGCGACTCGGTGGGTTTTCTAGACATTCATCTCCCTGGTGATAACTCGCTATCACGTGGATGGTGTACTCGTCCGTATTTCATAAGAATTTAAAGTCGAAATAATCATAATTACTGTCGCCCATGGACTTCAGCAATGCCAGGGGCAGAGCCCTGCCTACCGCTTAATGCTCTCCTCCACAAGCCTCGTTTGAAGAAGGACATCTCATAGCGCTCGGGAAACACCGTGGAGGGAGCTCATTCCATAGCCGGATGGTACGTGGCAAAAAAGACCTCTGGAAACGCACTGTGGATGACCGCAGTGGCTCCAGGTAGTATGGATGAACTCTACTCCGGTGGCGGGCGGTGCGATGGCAAAAACGAGATGCCGGTATCATCTCGAACAATTCCTCAGAGCAATAGGTAGCAGGCTGATAGGTAATCATGACTTAATTTCGTCTAAGTGATTGTTAGCGGGCGCTGTCGATGTTCACGAGCCTCTACTCACAGTCGGACCACTCTCGGTTGTAACAACATCGTCACCACGGGCCGCCTGCCGATAAACTGTTTGTGCTGCTCGTAAACACCACCCGTATGCTTAGTGCGAGTTTTTTAACGTTCTCGATAGCGTAAAAGTTAACTAATTTGTAGGCAGTTGGAACAGCGCCCCTAGCGGCAAACGTAGGCAAACGTTTCAACGCCATAAAAATTTGAGTTAACTTTTACGCTATCGACAACGTTAAAAACTCGCACTAAGCACACTGATTGCCCCCGTGAAACCACTGCCCGCTTTAGGTACGTTAACGTCAAAATTACAGCCATAATTTAACATTATTGACATTGTTTTCCTAAAAGACTTATAAGGTTGTTACACAATTTAGTTGAATAGAAACATCCGCGTTATGCATCAAACATAAACACTAGTGTGTAGTAGTTTAGTTACGTGTCAGTGTGACGCACACAAGCACAGTTGCATTGCTCCTGCGTGACTCATTGTGAGGATGTCTGCACGACATCGCGATAGAACAGTACAGACAGTGCAGCAAGTCGAATATTACGGAGGACCTGACGACGTAGGTAATGCTTCGCATCCTACTAATGTTATAAACGCGAAAGGTCGTAATAATGTATGGATATATGTTTGTTACTCTTTCACGCAAAAACTACTTAATGGATTTTGATGAAACTGTACAATAATATAGTTGACACATTAGAATAACACATGGGGTATAATTTATAATAATATATAAATCTACAGTGATTTTTACGGATGTTCCGTTATAACTACTGAACTATGCATCCGATTGACTTGAAACTTGGTATCCATGTAGAAAATACATGACTTAATGGATAGGCTAATATTTATATGAGTGTTGGACTCCCTACACCAGTTGCGGGGGCGTTAATGATGAGAATCTTTGTGGGGGTGATGATAATCTAAATTTGAAATGCCCAGCGAAGCGGACGGGTACAGCTAGTAATTTATAAAGATATAGTGTGAATTACCCAAAATATAACGATAAGTGTCAAGTAAAAAAATCTGCCATCTCATTAGCGTAATCAATAGTAAATTACAGTTCACGTAGCGAAGTGAGGGCGTGTCGCTAGTACTTCAGACTTCTCATAGCTAGGGCTTACTGTTTAACGCTCTTGATCAAACTTTTAAATATTTTTATTCTACGAGTGCCTTATGTACGATGTTGACCGATCCGGTGTCTATGATCAGCAGCCCGAGGCCAAGAAGTTTCAAACTATGAAAACTACACAAATAAATCCGACGTCAGTATTTTGGGAATTGTATTGATGTGCAGGATCCCTTATAGCTATCCTTTTGAGAGATTTAGGAATTTCTAGAGGTGGCAAAAAGCAATACCGCCATACTGTATAAACGAACACGCAGTCATTGATATGTTTAGAGCGACGCCACGTAACGCGAATAAATGTTATTATGAATGATGTAACGTGATCGCCGAGGAAGTTGTTCCAATGTATACGTAGTACGATGAGTAAGATATATTAATGATTGTCTATAGTATGTGTAGTAAATAAAATGTTTCTGTCTCTATAACCACTGTGTATGCTAGTTTGTATGTCCACACTGTGTACAATGTATATTTGTTTGATAGGTCAGTGGGAGAAGCTCCCGCTCTGGACTCTGGAGCGGGAGCTCGTGGTGCAGGATATAGCAGAGAAGGAGAGCATCAAGGTGCTCGAGAAGGCCACCGTGCCCATCGTCAAGATGACCGACAAATATTCAGATGTTAAAGTACGTATGGACATAGGATCATCGGCGTCCCCCCCCCCCCCACCTCTCACTCTAACCGCTGTCTAAAAAGACTGCACAGATAATTATAGTTTTATTAACTACTAGCTGACCCGGCAGACTTTGTAGTGCCTCAATCGATAAATAAAAGACCTAAACTTTTGTATAAAATAAACTTAAAACAAACAAAATGAATCCGTCCGACGGGGGACACATCAAAGGAAAAACAAAATTGTTGTTTTTATTTAATTTCGAGCATTTTCATATTTATCTACCTTTTAAACCTTCTCTGGACTTCCACGAATAATTCAAGACCAAAATTAGCCGAATCGGTCCAGTCGTTCTTGAGTTTTAGCGAGATTAACGAACAGCAATTCAGTTTTATATATATAGATAGATAGATAGATATATAGACAATTAAAGTAATAGTTTCTATTTTCTTTCACTAGTCAGATAATTCAAGTGGAACTTACAAAGTAATTTTATTACGTGAATGTACTGAATATATGCTTGAGGGTCAGGGCACAGGTCTTCGGTATTTTTGAAAGTGAACCTGGAATTGTCCATTTCAATAATTAAGTACAGCGTGTGCGTGCGTACTGTGGTCAATAATGAGTTATTTCGCTGCGCAGGTGGACATATCTTTCAACATGAGCAGCGGCGTGAAGAGCGCCGAACTTATCAAACATTTCAAGGTGAGTGCGCGGTGACGTCACGCGACTCCTCTCGTCCGATGCAACTTGCACTTTAACTGGACCCTGAGTGCGATTCCACTGTCTATATACCTTTTAGGGGATTTTGGGAGATTGAACAGAGTGTGTACCTCATATCAAATCAAATCGAACCTGTGTACCTCATAATAAATGAACAATCGTATTTGGTTTGAAGTATAGCAGTGAATAGTCTGTCAAGTCAATCAGGAATATTTTAGCTTCACTGGCACATCGACACGACACGCAGTTCACAAGCGTATTACATCTCGAGCGGTAAATGAATGTTGACCGACTCGCTGTCCGGTGTTGCTGACGAGGTGATCAGTGTGAGCTGCCAGTCGGAGGCCAAGTCTGAGCTTTGCCCGCTGACTCTGGCAGTACATTAACATTGATCTTGTCATTTTCAGGAGAAATACCCAGTCCTTTCTCGACTAGTGATGGTCCTGAAGCAGTTTCTCCTGCAGCGAGACCTGAACGAAGTGTTCACCGGAGGCATCTCCTCGTACTCCCTGATCCTCATGTGCATCAGCTTCCTGCAACTGCACCCTCGGCCCGAGCGCCTGAGGCAGCCCAACAACCTGGGCGTCTTGCTCATCGAGTTCTTCGAACTCTACGGCAGGAAATTTAACTACGTGAAAACCGCCATCAGAGTCAAGAACGGCGGCTCCTACGTCTCCAAGGACGAGATACAGAAGGTGAGTGAGAGACGTGACATTCCACTAATAATAATAATTACATTTATTTACTCCACAATACAAATAACTTTTCAATTAATATGACATAAAAATTCTAATTCTAAACAATATTACAATATATTAATTATACTAAAACAGTGGAGACAAAAAGGCCGCGGCTCAGCTTTGTGATAGCTGAAACTATCGCTGTTATTCAGCCGCTGTCTGTTAGTGCGATGGGCTTGTTATTTAAACACGAAATTTACCAATTCAACGATTTTTAATTTGTTTTTGCACATCGTACTTCGACGTAAAGTACGTCATATATTGTATAGTATATTGTATGTCGACGTAAAATGGTTCCCGACCCACAGACTCACGAGGCAGCCCGCCGCCGACCTGCAGACTGCGCTCATTCGCGTTGTGTACCGGCACACTCTATAAAAGAAAGTATATTTGAACTCTGAATGTCAAATGTCAGAGATCTAACTCGGATCGCATCGAGATGGTCACTATTCATGTAACGTTACTGTTTCAGGAGATGAACGACGGTCACCGTCCGTCGCTGCTGTGCATCGAGGACCCGCTGACGCCGGGCAACGACATCGGCCGCTCCTCCTACGGCGCCCTGCAAGTCAAGCAGGTCTAGTCTAGTCTAGTCACTTAAACTATAAAACAACACACATACTGTGCGAGTCATGTATCATATAGGGCACGCGCGTTATCATATCAGCACTTTTACATCGCTTTACTCAAACCGTAGCTTATAGCGCTAGTACACGTTCAGCACTCATATACAGCAGTACTCACCACATCAACATACACAGAATTAGTTACTTGTTAGTGAAGTATATAATAAACGGATATCCTTTGACTGTCAGTGATTTCTTCTTATCTAAATCTCAAGTTGTATACGCCACATCCAGCAGCGCATACACATACATATCATTATATACCATTAAGAACGACCTAACGTTTCACAAATTTTAGTATATAGATGTTTGTTCCTTCTTAGAAGTTTACAAGTTGTGTTATGAGATACCTACATGTGCGGAGCAAACAGGATTGGGAATGTAGAATAATATCGATAACTTTTTTGTTATGCTATTTGTTATCTGTAGTAACAAATTCAAACAATAATGAAGCTGGACAAATAATTAAGAATGAATTATTAAATTGCTCTAGAGTTATTTTATATGAAACTTAAATTAAATAAATTATATTAACGAGAAGTGTCTTAAAAAAATTAATACAACACATTTGAAAGTAAATTGAGTAGTAGCGTGGTAGTTCGCAAGAGAGGGAGTTGTATCGATATAGTTGTTCGCTGGCAGGCCTTCGACTACGGGTACATCGTGCTGCAGCAGGCGGCGGCGGCGGGCGCGCCGGGCGTGCTGGGCCGCGTGCTGCGCGTCACCGACCACGTGCTGCAGTACCGCCGCTGGGTGCGCGACACCTTCCACCCCTACTTCTTCCCGCCGCCCGCGCCGCCGCGCCCGCACGACGACTCCGACCAGGTCCGCACCGACACCCGTCGCGCCACGCCACGCCACGCCCCGCCCCGCCACGCCACGCCCGCGCTGTACCAACTGTGCGTGTTGCAGGAGTGGTCGTCCGGCTCGGTGTCGCCGCCGCCCGCCGCGCCTTCCCCGCCGGCCGCCGCGCCCTCCCCGCCGCCGCTGTCGGCGCTGCAGTGCTCGTCGCCCACGCCGCGCCGCGTGTCCGCGCACCAGAGCCTCATCATACACCACATCACCAGCAACTCCGACTTCAACAACATCCCCTCCGGTACGCCCCCACCGCGACCTGCCCGTGACCTACCCGCGAGCTCAGTGGTGTTCAACTTGTATATGAGTAGAATTCAGAGTTCAGGAATAACTGCTTCGGACGCTATTCAATGACAACTTCTCACTGAACAACCGCAAATTTAGAATTTGCTAATGAATCTGTAATAAAACTGTTTGATACGAACCGAACAGATATGTTCCGATGCGGGCACCCGATATGCTGACCCCGCGCGGCCGCCGGTCGCCGACTGTGTGTACTTCTTAATGCATTGTCTTAGTATTCGCGAGTATTTGCTTTTTTAACGTATCTCTTGGCTTGTTGTTCATTTACACAACACTAGTCCCTCCTTCAGAATTGATCGTTACTATTTTAAAAGCGTGTGGAGTTGTATTTACGACAGTGGGTGATGTTTGTTGTCGTTGGTTCGTTGTAAATTTTAATAAAAAATATATTTCTTTGCCCCGGGGCCGGCGCCTGCATTCATTCTTAAATGATATCTTCAACCGTTTCCCTCCTCAAAGCCTTTAACTTAGTGACTTTCACATTTAATCTCTAGTATCTGTAACTGCTTATTTTAGAACGTATTCGCGTCGCTCGGGAGGGCTCGCGCCGCCCGTCGCCGACCTATACTTACAAACAACGTTGGACATCTCCAGGCGTGATCCAGCGCTACGGCACCGCCGAGCCCAGCAAGGCGCGGCCGCAGCGCCCCCTCTCCGCCAAGCAGCGCCGCCAGCCGTCCCCCCACGGCGCCCCCTCCCCCGCGGCGCACGGGGGGCCGGGGGGGCCGCGCCGGGGGGCCGACCGCCACAAGAAGCGGCGCCACTTCACGCAGCGCTCGTAGCGGAGCCGCCCCCCGCCCTGCACAATGCAATTGACAATGTGGGATTTGTTATACTTCTTGTTCGGTGCAACCAATTAATGTTCGAATTTGATTACTTGTGTTGCTGCCCGCTCACAAACACAGAACTTAGAGTGATATTATAACGATATGTTTGGTCATCAGACTGTGTGTTTGTTTGTTTGGCCGGCCCGGGCGGCTGCGTCCCGCGGGGCTGCGCTGTGTGCACTTGAATGTCCGGCTTCTTATAAATATAGAAAAGCACACGCTTTGTTGAATAATATAATGTAATTTACTATAATACAGTTTCGAGGAAAAATGAAAAATCGATTAACTTAATTTTATTTATTGAAAAAAAATATTGTAAGCTAATAATTAGATACTGATTCTACTAATGGAATGAAATATAGAAAATAAAAAGACTGGCCAAGGGACAACAGCTGATTGAGTATATTCCAGCGCTGAGAGCGGGACGACACCGGCATTATAACAAAAGGTCACGAGAAAGACTGAAATTGTTTTGTAAAGCAATGGAATGAAAACTAAATAAAAAATGACGCAATCAGGAGGTTGTTCAGAACAGCAGGACGTTAGAAATAATTATAGGAATGGACGCCTCCCCCGTCCCCCGCGCTCCCCGGCCCCGCTCCCCGACCCCGCCCCCAGACCCCGCGCGGGGAGTAGACGCGGCGGACCAGAAGTCAATTCGCGCGCTCACCAACGAACAGACAATGTTGCGAAATGTTTTATTTTAAAAATGACTACTGCAAAGTATGAATGTTTTAGAAGAAAAATTTTGAACAGATATTTTAAAGAACATGGGATTGCTTGAATATTTTTTAATCAGCGACAAACTGATACATCTGAACCTTGCAGATGTGTCACAGCTCTGCTCTGTCGTGCAGACAACTCTGCAATTAGATTTGCGCAAGTCCGCGGGTCCCACAGTGGAGGGGGACGCACGTGGGGTGCTCACCGAGGCCCCCCCGACAGTATCTGGACGTAGCGCGTCCCCCGGCGTGTCCCTCCGGCGCGTCCCCCCAGCGGACCGACAAGGAGATCATGTCTCTAAGTACATACACTAATGTATTATATTTTTGCAAATTTCTAATTCTCTGATGTTTTGTGTAGCAATATCGTGTAGAGGCGCCGCCCGCCCCCCGCCCCCTGCTCGCGCGCTGCTGCAGTGTCGGCTCCCCCACAGTACATTCTATACAAATATTGCCGCATAATACGTTGAAGTCGTGTAACATAAATTTAGATTTAAGGAATATGAGGTTTTGCAACATGCGAGGGCTGAGCGCGCCGCCCTCTCACTATTTTAGATTCAAATTATAATGAGTGAGATAGAGATAGAGAATACAATTAAAATGTTAACTACGTAATGTGGGAATTTAAGCAGATATAGGCGTCTGTATGTGTACTGCGTGCGAGCGTGTTATTGTGCTCCGGGTGGATGATAAATATTTTCCTTTTTAAAAGCTTGTAAATTTGACATTCTACTAGTGGTAAAAAGATATTTTATTGTAAAGTATTGAAATATTGTACTGGTGGTAGGACCACTTGTGCACGGGTGGGTACCACCACCCTGCCTATTTCTGCCGTGAAGCAGTAATGCTTTTCGGTTTGTAGGGTGGGGCAGCCGTTGTAACTATACTGAAACCTTAGAACTTATATCTCAAGGTGGATGGCGCATTTAAGTTGTAGATGTCCATGAGCCCCAATAACCACTAAACCCCAGGTAGGCTGTGAGCTCGTCCACCCATATAAGCAATAATAAAAAAGATAAGCGAGATGTAGCGTGCAGCCACAGACACAGACTTGTTAGTTCATAGATTGTATCACATTGACGGTGGAACAGCGTCGCCACGTGACCGCGCCCGCCCCCGCCCGGCGCAATCTGCCGCAACACACTTCGTATCACATACCTGCCTATTTCTGCCGCGCTGTAGCCATGCGGCATGCAACAGTACCGCCTGACGCACGTGGCACATTCATTGTATGAGCCCGGTAAAAAACATCACATAGCTTAATTCTAATAAATCACTAAACTAGTTACCCAAATTGTTACTATGTATATATTGTGTGTAGTTAAATATCTCATAAATTTAATTTTCAAAAACACGTATGTATTTTAAATCTAATAAATTTTTTGTCACATACAAATTTGATCGATTTTAAGTACTTATTTAAATTGTATAATATTTACTAAATTTTGTTAAAAATGTTAAGGCTCTTTAAGCTCGCAGTCCCCCGGACTGGTCCCCCTCCGGACCAGTGGCCCTCCGGACTAGTGGTATCCGGGCTGGCTGCTCCCTATTGGTTCGCAATAATATTAATTCTGTGTCACAATAATAGTCGGGAGGTCGTCAGCTGAGTTAAAGTCAAAAGAGACTTTAAAATAAGAACCGCACTAATCTTCTGAAACAGTTTGAAAACCGCCTCCCGAGTCGGGTGCGGCCCGCGGTAGTTGCTCGGTCCTCGTGTGTTGCAAGCCCTCTTGTACATAAAGTGTTAATGTACATACTCATTTGTATATAACGTGTACATACTCGAGATATATATATTTAAAATTATTATAAAAATATACTTTAAAGAGAACGTTTTAAAAATAAAAATTGAAAAAAGTAAAAAAAATAAAATAAACACACGCCGTGAGTATGAAGCGGAAAAAACGATTTTGTTGGCTTTTTATTTTCCCGCCCCTGTTGCCTCCCCCCCCACCCTCACGCCGCCCCCACCGCGAGCAGGAGTGCGCTGCCTCGTGCCGCCACACCTGTGACTGGTAACCTGCAAAACTAGTCAACTTATTGTTCTGTATTGCCTCCGTTAGCGTCCTAGCACTCGGCCCACCTGATGGTAAGAGGTCACAATGCCGGTAGTACAGCCGAGCCGCTGCCTACTGCCGACGATTGCAGACCACCACTAGTTGTAGGTCTGTAAATGTAACACTAACGTAGTGTGCAATACGCAGCAGTGCAACAACGAGCGCCGCGGCGGGCGCGTGCGACTTTTTTAAGATAAGGGTGAATTTTCGTTTATTTGACAGTTTCATAATTTATTTGGGATAGAGACTGCTGCTGTCCCAAGTCTTCTAAGCTAGGTAATGAGCTCGAACGCCGAAGGAGGCGGCTGCTAGTGTCAGTGGCAAGGCCGACGATTTCTTCACACATGTAGTTGCGGATGGATGGGTTTCAATGCTTAGTGCGAGTTTTTCTATAGCGTAAAAGTTAGCTCATATTTGTAAGGAATGGGATCGTTTGTCTACGTTTGCCGCTAGGGGCGCTGTTCCTACTGCATACAAAATTGGATTAACTTTTACGCTATCGAGAACGTTAAAAAACTCGCACTAAGCACACAGATCTAGATCGCCGTTGAGGTCTATATTCCTGTGCCGCGGTATTGCGACAGCTAACCCCAGGAAGCCATGCGGGCGCGGACACACTGGCAGGTCGTAATGGGACGAGTTGTGTAAACTGTTCGTCGTCTGTCTCCGAGCACACGACAGTTCACTCCTCCGTGGAGTTGTCCAGCGTGATATAACCTAATTGGTACAGCGGGACTCTCACTCTGAAAACACGTTTTTGACATTCTAATTCCGGAGCTACCCATTTGTTCTTGTCAAATTAAAAACAATCTTTTTCCGGAAATTGTAAATAATTCCAAGTTGGGAACTTTGAATTTACTATTGGGAATTTACTATTAATTACTTAGTAACAAGTGACGTTTAATTTCCATAAATTTTTAATGGCATATCATTATTGTGGACACTAAAATACGCATTTTTTCCTATCTATACTGATAGCCTTGAGGGGTTATGTCAGCGTAACCTAACACGCAGTGAGTTCACGGGGCTCAAACCTGACGACGTTGCTAACACTAACCCAGCAAAAGCAGTAGATACTTCGCAGAATCTACTACCGAATCGGAAACGCGACCCACTGAGAAGATCCGGCGAGAAACTCAGGGGCTGTGTTAATTTAGCGGGTTAATAGTTGTAGGTTAATTTACTTGCCGAGCCCTTCGTCGTAAGCAACGGGTTTGGCGAGAGCTTAGGGCGACGTCGACTGTTTACCATTCGGGACGTACGTTTGACTGGTGTTAGGACCTTTTCTGAGTCCGCGCGGGTAGGTACCACCACCCTGCCTATTTCTGCCGTGAAGCAGTAATGCGTTTCGGTTTGAAGGGTGGGGCAGCCGTTGTAACTATACTGAGACTTAAAACTTATCTCAAGGTGGGTGGCGCATTTACGTTGTAGATGTCTATGGGCTCCAGTAACCACTTAACACCGGGTGGGCTGTGAGCTCGTCCACCCATCTAAGCAATAAAAAAAAAAGTTACCGGCGGCCATGATTAGAGAGTTCTCATGTCGTGCTTTTTCGAAATGGCGCATTGATGCCGACTGTAGATACTTACTGATGGACTCTAGGTCCATCTCGTCGTGGAGATCCACGTTTCTCACGTACCAGGGTGCTCCGACGGCCATCCTGCATAAATGGGATTGTACGATTTGCAGGGGTTTCAAGTTAGTGCGGGCCTCGTGTGCGAACACTACATTTGCATAAGTCACGACCGTAACTATGCAAGTTTTATAGTGGCACCCTATTATGAAGGGTCAATTTACTTCACTTGTAGATCACGTGGTAGAGTCCACCGAGTAGGAACGCGGTGCGATCGCGTACTGACTTGATGTGAGGTCCAAATGTCATTCCCCTGTCGAGATTGACGCTTAAGTACTTAGCCTTGGAAGCCCACGGTATGGGCTGGCCAAAGAATTTTATGGCGGGAATGGAGTTACCGCGCCTGATTGGTGACAAGATACTAGCAGTAGTGTCCGGAGGGCGATCCCTTTTGAAAAGCACGGCTGTGCTTTTCGTAGGGTTGATGTCGATGCGCCACTTCCGAAATCACTGTCCTAAATTCGTGACCGCGATCTGGAGTTTGCTATGCATGAACGACATCTTTCTACTCGAGCAGTACATAGCCGTACCATCCGCGAAAAGGGCTAAGTGGGTCGCAGGCGACCGGGGTATATCGTTAATAAACAGGCTAAAAAGTTGCGGAGAGAGAGCGGAGCCTTGCGGGACTCCGGCCGAGATATGTTGCGGGAAAGAGCGAGTTGTAAATCTGACCGTTGCGTTGCAATCATATCGAAGAAGAGGGCTCCGGCCGGGATTGGTTTCCGCCTATTTAGCCCTATTAAGATATGCTCCATGAGGCGATGCATTTGATGGAACAGCGTGAGAACGCTTCGTCGAAAAAGCGGTGCGACACAATAACCCTCAAATTTCATATCCAACTCCGGCGACAGGGCAACCCAAAGCCGCCATCTCCCGAAACATCGGGCGGGTCGTATACTCCGGATCATTCTCGCTACTTTTAGGTTCCAAGCACCGACCACTGTCGAACTCATCTAATAAAACGAAGAGCTTGGCGTGCAACCTAGTCCATAAACACAGACTGCGGAATTTGCTCGGCGGATCTTCTCATCGAATCGCGATTCCGGTGGCAGTTTTCGCGAAGCACTGCTCTAACTAGGCCTAGTGCTAGCAATTTTCTCAGGTTGAGCCAGTTAGCTGACCTACCCGTTTGCGCGTAGCTGCAATAGCACGGTAGGTTACCAACGATTAGGGGAAAAGTTGAATATTAAGTGTGTAGCACGTAAAGCCCTTTACTGGGATGACGTAATTAGAACCTTCGTAGTTAAAAAGCAAAACTGATTCTGTTCAAAAGGATATCAATTAAATTTAAGTCGCAGATACCTCACTAATTAAAGGACTGAAAACGCACAATTAAGTCCTTCACTACTATATCACCATTGTATTTTAGACAATAAGACTGAGATTTGGCTGTTAGTTGTAAGTTTGATTGAGGGTAGTATCGCGCATGCGCGAACCGTAGTAAACACAGTAATGAGGCGGTAGGCGCCGCGTCCGGACGGTTCTTATATTGTGTCGTATTGGTGAAATATCGGTCGTGACGCGTGTGTTGTGCAACAATAATACTGGATTTCTCCCTAAAAACTTTCTCTGTTTTATTAAATCACGAAGCAAACGATTGTTTTGAAGGTATGGCGCCAAATATATTAAGTTATTATTTATTTTACTGTTGGTTTTTTCTTATATAGATAGTGGTTGACCCTATTTCTAAAATAAAAATAAAGTAACGATTTATTGTGTGTGCGAGAGCGTGTCTATTGTACTAGATTGTGAGGGTATAAAAAGATTTTATGTCAATTCGACCCTGAAATATTTATCATTGGTTGTCAGGGATACAGTCGGAAACCTTAAGCTTAATATTTTAGATCACAATTTCCCTAAACTATTATATTTAAAATTAAAATGAACATTATTCAAACATCAATTTTAAATACTCTTTGTTTTAACGGTTTTTCTTAGATTAATTTTTATTTAGAAGTCAATTTTTCAATCAGTTAGAGCACAATGAAGAATCTAGGGATAAATCTCTTCAGATTTATGGAAATCATGTAAAGCTTTATCTTTTTTTTAGTCTTTCGTATGAAAACAGTATTCATTAACTGTAACTATTTGCGAGATAGGTACTCACTTATTGTGACGAAAACATGAATGGGAGTCGAATTTATGCGCGATCAAAGCTTTCAAAGGAGAGGCTTTTTGTATTACTTCGGGCGCGATGAATTATACTCAATTCAGCTGAAAGTAGCAGACCAATGTTTCAATACTATTCAATAAATTATGTACTACCAATCTTACCCAAGCGATTTGTAACCATAACATAAATATTACCAAATAAGAAGACACTTCATGTACATAGTTTCCAATATGTTTTTAACACTAGTCTAAACTAAACACTAAACGATAGTAGTACGTCCTGTGTATTCCTAACGCGATTATGCAGCTTACTTGAAATTCTATAACCCTCACTGTTGTGTTTGGTAAGCGTCCTACGGTGGGCGACAATAGTTATGTTCTACCGCTATAGCGGTGCCCATTACCAAATAGAAGAGACCTTATCGCGCTAACGAAACAACTTCCAGATACCCTGACACTTTTTTTCTTTCGGGCCGCGGCCTAACCTCCTACGAGGTCCCCACGCCTAGGGGGCGCGCGCGGTATGTGGAACTGTTCCGCGACTGCGAACCGCGGGCCCAAGGCTGTTATTTAGGACCCTACCCACTAAACGACTCACCTACGCATTCACTTCGACGTCCGATCTCCGCCCGTGGTCAGAACCCGGTCAGAGTAGAGGGGTGGGTACAACGAGACTCACGGCGTGACGACGGGTTATCGAGGCGGTAGTCGACGACTCTCAGTTCGCTCCGTGGCCATCATTGCAAAGAGACTGCCTCCTTACTGGGGCCGGAGTTAGACGAATATTTCGGCGGCGGCAGCACGGCGCCGAGAAAGAAGAAGAGCTCTCCCTCTCCCGTTCCGCTGCCTCTTTCTCGAGATATTGGACTCATAGAAGTCGAGCATACCTTGACATATGTAACAAGTTCAGATTATCAACACGTGGACCGTCTGTCCACCAAGCGATGTTATCCATTTGGTGGAAGATCTTCCCTTTGCAACGGAAAAAACAACGTGACCAAAATGTAACGTGTTGTGCATTCTCTTCTTACCCTTACTCCACTGCTTGGGGTCGGCGCAGCATGTTCTCTTTTAACATTCCTGCCTATCACACATCATCTCGGCACTCTCATTCCTCTCTTGCATATCCTCTTTCACACAGAGCATTCAAGTATTTTTAAGAAGCACCCTTTTTTACGTCTGTCCTTTACGATAATGGCGTCTTGTAGGTACCATTGATGTTAAAAAAAATAAAGACCCGTCCTCTAAAATTCCGGCCGGTTTTAATTTTCACAACGTAAACGCTACTGTCCAATTGTAGACATCAGATTTTCAGTCAAAATTGCCCCAAACTTCATAATGGAACGATTAGTTGCTTTGCGGCTAGAATGACCACATCTGTTGTAAGTTCACGGGAGCTCGCAATATAGATACTGTACAGCCTTGACGAAAAGTTGATCGACTAGATAGAGCAATCCTATGTTGAGGCCTACAGACCTCAAGGTTTTTAGTCACATCCACTTGAACAAACCTAATATATACCAAAAAGATATTTACCAAGTATCTATTCTTAGCGATCAGACGCAATCTGATTTATATCCACTTACTTACATTTGCCGAGGTCATTATGAGTGATTCACCAAGACGAAGTGTGGCGGATAGAGGCTTGGCTCAGGCGGCACTGCGGCCATGCGAGGTGGCCGTAATATATCTTCCAGGTAGTTTCCTATCCCATTTCCATATTGTAAATAATAAACAGATCAATGATGATATTTTCATTCAGTTTGTATTTAGACGAAGTTTTATAGCTGTGCACGATTGTGCCAATAGTAGGAAAGTGTGGGTGCGCGGTTATCCTTCGGTTTAGGCTTCGCCATTCAAATTTGAACGCACGATTGCTTAGCCGCAGAAGTAAATGGGACGACGACAGTAAACGTTCTGTATAAACCGCACATTCATACCGCCAATTATAAGACGTGTCCATTGATGTTCGGTCGTGTCATTAGCGTGGTTTAGGCCATTTAGGTGACGTTGCTGTATCATTGCAAATGAAAGATCTTCCAAGGAGTGTTTGTTGTTCCACAGTAGAACAAATTTTAGTGTTTGGAACCTATAAATACGCATGTTTTGTTGAAATCGTAAACAGATACACATCTACGGCGGTGTTTTGTACGAAAACGTAGCCGTTTCCCGTTTTGCTCTTTCGTTTGACAATCACTTTTTCATAAACTCCAAGAGACAGAGCACGGCGCGGCGGCGGAGGCTTGATTCAGTAGTGTGCTTACTAAGAACAACCATCGTATTTCGATTTTTTTAAACTTTATTAAGACTAGTCATAATTTATAGAAAAAAACAAACAAAGTTTTGCTTGCTTAAGCAAACGTCGCTCATGCATTGATTTCATTGTAGAGTAGTTGCTAGACAATTGCCCGGAGAATTTCATTTCACGAAGCTACTCGTGGATATTATCCGAATTTTCCGAAAAAAGATAACTTGAGTCGGTCGTGCTCATTCCCAAACCTGCGACCCTCGTATGAGTTTTCCAGAAACAATAACGTAAGTCATTATTATTTAAAGTTTAAATTAGTTTGCGACTTGGCCTAGCGCCCCTGGCGGTTATGACGCCGCATTCAGTTCCCATTAGAACGTTTTATAAGTCGTAAAGTCAAGATGAACTGGGGCGTCGAGAGTTTCCCTCCCACCCGATTCTGGCCTCGAGTTCTTGCCATTTCCAAACATCGCTTTACTCTGAATACCGGCTTGCTTAAAAACATCATCAATCATCAGTGGCCCGGGGAGCCTGTAACCTAATTCCGGGTCGTCGCTCTGCATTATTGAATTAACCTAACTCTTCGACAAGACATCGATTTTTTGTAACGTAAATTGGTTAATGTATGTGTGTACGGAGAGCTAACAATTAATTTTTAATTTGGATATGTATGATCATTAGCACTGACAGTAAAGGTAACAAACCTTCCTTCTGGTTAGTTTCATTATTAGCAGCAAATTTTGGAAACGACGGGAAATGTAAAAACTTGCACAGTTTTTTTTTCCTACCCAAGCTGATAGCCTTGAGAGGCTATTTCAGCGGAACCTTAACTAGTAGGTGAGCTCTCGGGGCTCAAACCTGACGACGTTGCTAACACGAACCCTATCAAGAGCCGTGCTTCGCAGAATTTACCACCGGATCGGAAACGCGACCCACTGAGAAGATTCGGCGAGAAACTCAGTGGGCTGTGTCTGTGGGTTAATTTAATCCTCAAACCTTTCGTCGCAAGCGTCGGGTTCGACAAGAACGATGACCGGAGCACACGGTTTAAATTTTTATCACTATAGGTATCTGATATTTCTAAAGCATTCATTCTCATTTGGAAATTCATGGAATTTAGTAATCACTTGTGTCTTTTGAATAACCCCGGTATTTTTCATTATTATGAGGGGTTTTGAAAACCGACGCATGGTTGATGGTGGGCAGTAACTATACATTGCTACATTGCCTTTCACGCAAATTAAAACCGATTAAACAAATAACCCTACCATTGAGAGGCACGCGTAGTCTCACCCGGTGGCGAGCCCCCGCGCCCACGCCAAGCTGACAAAAGAATAGCTCAAAAACGGCATTATGTACAAGTTATTCCGCAATATTTGACGTACGTTTATCCGCATAACCGTTTTGTTGTAGTTTGTATTAACATATTCATTGTGAGGCGAGTCCGGGCCGCCGAGCTGGAATGTAGTATTAAAAACATGCTGAATAAATATACCAGTACGTGTTGGTATTATCCTGCCACTGTCGAGTGTCTAAGGTTCCTTTTCGTACCCTCCATTATGCATTACGTCTGCGACAATCGTATGCCACTGATATACAATATCAGTTGCGCTACGAAGAGCACTACAAGATTCCCACAGATATCTGTTATAATATTTATATTGAATTATATTTCCACAACACATTGGACCCGGCTCCCCTTACTACTTTTTTATTTTTTTATTTATTGATGCACAAAGCAAATTACAATCATTACAGTACATAATAGCTAAATCGTACAAGTAGTACCTAGATCTAATCTGGATTGCAACCTAAATAGTATGTGCACTCAGCAAATCCATATTAATGTACATAGCTTTGGCTATTGAAAACGCAATTGAAATTACAAATATTGATAACTAGCCATTGTTAAATAGGATATCTTTCACACATTTGACAAATCCCCTGAGTCTAGGTTCAGAGATATCAAGGCTACCGTGACATTTAGCCAAATCATTATACTGCCTGACCATTCTTACCATAGGATTATAATATGATATATTATTTTTATATGTCCGTAACGCAAAGAGGTTTACCAAATGCGAATTCCGGGCTCTGAAGTGGATGTTGATAGAAATATTCGACAGCAGTTCCATGGAGTCTATATGGGAGTGTAAAATATTGTACAAAAATACTTTGTATAAAAATACTATTCTAAGAATTACTACTAAACTACTGGTAATATGTCGGCCAGTGGATTGTTATGATA